AGAGTTGGGCGGAGAAATGGCAGATGGAGTTCAATCCAGGCAAATGCAAGGTGATGCATTTTGGAAGATCCAATTCAAGAGCGAACTATACGGTAAATGGAAAAGTTCTGGGGAAAATTGATGCACAGAGAGATCTGGGTGTTCAGGTCCATTGTACCCTGAAGGTGGCAACGCAGGTCGATAGAGTGGTCAAGAAGGCATACGGCATGCTTTCATTCATCGGACGGAGTACTGAGTACAAGCGTTGGCAGGTCATGTTACAGTTGTATAGGACTTGGGTTTGACCACATTTGGAATACTGCGTACAGTTCAGGTCGCCACATTACCAAAAGGATGTGGATGCTTTGGAGAGTGTGCAGAGGAGGTTCACCAGGATGTTGCCTGGTATGGAGGGCGCTAGCTATGAAGAGAGGTTGAGTAGATTAGGATTATTTACATTAGAAAGACGGAGCATGAGGGGGGACCTGATTGAGGTCTACAAAATCATGAGAGGTATAGACAGAGTGGACAGCAAGAAGCTTTTTCCTAGAGTGGGGGACTCAATTACTGGGGGACACTATTACTAGGAGTCACGATTTCAAGGTGAGAGGGGAAAAGTTTAAGGGAGATATGCGTGGAAAGTTCTTTACGCAGAGGGTGGTGGGTGCCTGGAACGCGTTGGCAGCGGAGGTGGTAGAGGCGGGCACAATAGCGTCATTTAAGATGTATCTAGACAGATACATGAATGGGCAGGGAGCAGAGGGATACAGATCCTTGGAAAATAGGCGACAGGTTTAGGTAGAGGATCTGGATCGGAGCAGGCTTGGAGGGCCGAAGGGCCTGTTCCTGTGCTGTAATTTTCTTTGTCCTAGAGTGTCAAAGGAGGTAGCTATAGAAATAAATAGAATCCATAAATTCTGGAATGATTCCTGAAGATTGGAATCTAGCAAATGTCACACTGTTTAAGACAGAAGCAAGAGAGAAAACAGGGAACTACAGGCCCGTCAACTTTTCATTGATAGAAAGGAAAATGCTAGAATCTATCATAAAGGGTGTGATAAATACAAATTTGGGATAAAAAATGACCTGATTGGGCACTGTCAGCATTGAACGTCAAATGGAACATTTGATTAACTTAAGAGTTATTTTTGAGGATGAAGCTAACAAATTTGTTAAAGGGAAGCCAATGGATGAAGATTTTCAGAAAGCTTTTGATCCACCACAGGAGGTTGGAGAACTTGGTAAATGTACTGGCACGGAAGAATAATCGGCTAATAGATAGAAAACAGTAGGAATGAACAGGCCATTCTCATGTTATCAGACTGTGACTACTGCGTTTTGTAAGGATCACTACTAGGGCTGTTCATAATAAAAATAGAATCTTGAATTTTACAGTATAGAAGGAGAGCATTTGACCAATGTCTGTACTGGCTCTTGAAAGAGTTACCCAGTTAGTCTCATTCACCAGGTCCACCTCTAAGCCCTCTAAATTCATCACTTTCAAATACATCCAATAGAGGGCGGCAAAGAGATTTTCACTGAGTACTTTGGGAGAACTCAGCTCAGTTACCGCGAATGAACAGTGGAGCGAGGAAGAACCCAGTGTCAAGGAATGGTAAGCACCAAACATTACATCATTGTAATATTTCTGTCCCTTAACCCTCCTCTAACCAACAACAAAAAAAAAGAAGCGAGAGATTGAGAGAGGCTGTTAGCAAGTTTTTTGTAGCACAGAAGGTACTTGCACTGTTTGTAAAGGTTGCATTGTAACTTAACTAACCAGTGCGCGCTACTGGTTGGTTTTAATGTGGGCTGAGGTGAATACTGGGCTTCACTGAGGAAGGTGAGCAAAGTAAAGGCAAGGTACGATTTTTTTAAAAAACATTTTTCATGTAAAGGGGCAGAGGTGCAGTTAGGGCAATGGTGTGCTCCTCCCGCCAGGTGTGGGAGATCAGGGAGCAGCCCAGTGTCCCGATAACTATGTTTGCAGAAAGCGTGACTGGCTGCAGCTCCTGGCAGTCTGCCCAGTTTGGCTGGAGCAGCAGTTGAACATACCAAGGAGCATACAGGGATAGACAGCTAGCTACAGGGAGGTGGTCGCACCACAGGTTCAGTCAGGTAGATGGGTGACTGCCAGGAGAGGCAGGCAAGTAATGCACGCGTTACCTCTCTAACAGGTACTCCATTTTGGATACCGTTGGGGAGAGCGCCTCTCAGGGGGTGTATGATAGCAGCAGCCAGGGCTATGGCATCACAACTACATGTGCTGTAAAGCAAGGTCAGACGACGTCCAAGTATGCCATAGTGGTAGGAGACTCAAGTAAGGGGCAGAGACAGACTTTTCTGCAGCTGCGTTCGAGACTCCAGGATGGTGTGTTGCCTCTCTGGTTCCTTGGTCAAGGACGTCGCTGAGCAGTTACGTGAAATTGTTAAGAGGAAAGCTTAGCAGCCAGAGGTTGTTGGTACCAATGAGCACCACAACATCAGTAGAAACAAGATGGGGTCCTGCAGAGTCAGTGCAGGGAGTTAGGAAAGAGGCTGAAATGCAGGACCTCATAGGTAGTAATTTCTGGGTAACTACCAATGCCATATGCTAGCGAGGAAAGAAAGATAGGACAGATGAATGTGTAGCTAACAGCTGGTGCAGGGGGCATGGTTTCAGTTTCCTGGATCATTGAGACCTCTTCTGGGGCATGGGTGACCTGTACAAGAGGGACAGGTTGCACCTAAACTGGAGGGGAACCAATATCCTTGTAGGGAAGCTTGCTAGTGGTACTCAAGAGGGTTAAAACTAGAGTGGCAGGGGGCTGGGAACCAGAGCAACAGTTCAGTAAGTGAAGGGATTGAGGCGAAGGTAGATGTTAGGACCAGTAAATCAGAAGGAAAGGACAGGAGGAGACAGGTAGATCAACATGATGGTACTAATGGGCTGAAGTGTGTTTATTTCAACGCAAGGAGTATTATAGGTAAAACAGATGAGCTTAGACCCTGGATCATGGGACTATGATATTGTGACCATTACAGAGACTTAGTTGAAAGACTGCTCAATGTTCCAGGGTTTCACTGCTTTAGACGAGATAGAGAGGGAGAAAAAAAAAGGTGGAGGAGTTGCATTACTAATCAGGAAGGACATCACACCTACACTCAGAGGACATACTGGAGGGCTCATCCAATAACGCAATACAGATACAGCTCAAAAATGAGATGGGTGTAATCACTGATGGGATTATACTATCGGCCCCCCCAACAGCCACTGAGACATTAAGGAACAAATACATGGGCCGAGATTATGGAAAGATACAATAACAACAGGTTGTCGTACTGGGTGACTTTAACTTCCCCACTATTGACTGGGACTCCCTTAGATCAACAAGCTTAGACAGGGCAGAATTTGAGGGGTGCATCCGAAAGGGTTTCTTGAAACAGAATGTGGATTGTCCAGCTAGTCAAGGGGCAGTACTGGACCTTGTATCAGCTAATGAGCCTGGCAAGGTGACTGACCTTTCAGTGGGACAGCATGTTGCACGCAGTGATCTCAACTGCCCAAGTTTTAAGATAGCTATGAATAAGGATAAGTCAGGACCTTGCAGGAAAGTACTAATTTGGGGGAGGGCAAATTATGTCAGTATTAAGCAGGAGCTAGGGAGTGTTAATTTGGAGGAGCTGTTATCGGGCAAGTCCACATTTGACTTGTGAGAGTTGTTTAAAGACCTGCTGATCAGAG